TGGTCCTGCCCTGCCCTCCGTGCCCGGCTGTGGCGGGAGCACCCCCGGGCGGCGGGGCCGCTGTCCTGCCCCTGGGTGGTGAGCTCCGCGGCTGGGTCTGACTCGGGTCCCCTTCCACGTCCCTGCTCTTGACGCTGTGACCTCGGTCCCGTCCCGCTTTTCATTGTACTTTGTCCTAAGAAATCAGTTGCTACTCTCTCAGTGGCCTCCCTCTTGACAGGGTGTATCGTTTGTTCTTGGTGGGCAGTGGCCCGCGGTCTCTTCAAGTAGCAAAGAGGCTAGGCTCTGGGGATGTCTTCCTGCCCCTGGTCTGTTCACATCTCTGGGCAGAGTTGCTGGGCAGTATCTGATGGCTCTGCAGACTCGGTTGAGGGCCGGTGAGTGCTGCTGGGGTGTTCTGCTTGGCGTCCCCCCACTTGCGACGTTAGTTTTGAACCTTTGGCCTTCGCTCCGGTCCCTGTTTTCTTATAACGTGTCCTAAGCAATCAGTTGCCACTTTCCCAGCAGCCTCCCTTTCCAAGGGGGGCTTATAGTTCTTGCCCACAAACTTGACATAGCAAATAGGCCTGTCCCTGGTCCATTCCTGTCTCTGGATAGTTTCACAGGGCAGCGTCCACTGGCTCCTTGGACTCATTCTGGGCTGCTGGGCACTGCTGGTGTGCTCTGCTGAGTGCCCCCTGCTCCCCCTTGCACTCGCTGTGAACCTGTGACCTTCACTTCTGTCCCTGCTTTGTTCTTTTGTTGTCCCCCAAAATCAGTTGATGGGTCCCCAGTGGCCTCCCTGTTAAGAGGCTTATAGTTCTTCCTTGATGGGTGCCCATGATGTGCCCTTGATGTGCCCATGACCCCCTGGGCACATCAGAAGACCTGTCTTTCCTCAGGAGGGTCCCTGGGGACTGAGGCCATTTTCTTGCCCCTGGTCTGGGCAGTTTCACTGGGAAGTGTCCACTGGCTTCTTGGGCTCGTTCAAGGGCCAGAGAGCTCTGCTCGCTGTCTCACCTTGGCATACTCATTTTGAACCCATAACCTCATGCCTATCCCTGTTTTCTCTTTAGATGTCCCTCCCTGCCCCCCAGTCAATTGACCTGTACCCCATACCTCCCACCCAGTAACAGCAGGGGGCTAACTGTTGCTCCATGGGCATCAAGCCCACATTAACCCTATGCTTCAAATAGGCCTGTCTTGTCCAGGTCTGACCGTGGAATTGCTGACCTGTCCCTTCCGAGAGTAGCAAGTCTGCATATGCCACTTAATTTTTTTCTGTTTGATGTGGAGACTGTTGTAGGCAGAAAATTCTGAGCAGGTTCCTCTTCTTTCTTGGTAGATTCAAAAAGTGGAGGTCCATGTCAAATGCTGCACAAAGGTTGCAATTCAAGCCATTGTCGTAAAAAGCTCATCAAAGGCTAGCTGGCTTTGCAGCACCTCTCTCCTTAGATCATAACTTTTCATGTTTTTGTGGGTGTAAGAGAAAAATGCAATAGATGTAAGGAAATCAGCCAATTCAGGTGGTGGGGGAGGGAACTGATGCATCCACAACTAATTCAGGGCAAGGTCCTATTCCACCTATTAGACGTGCAGCGGACCTAGTGACTTAAATGTGATCTTCTTCCCCTTCAGGTCATGTCCCTGAACTAACATTTATGTGCTATTTTTATAACACGTCATGATCTTAGCTTTAAGATTAAGTCACAAAAAACAGCAAACAGGAGGAAGACTGTTTGTATTAATTGTTTTTCAGGGACTTGAGCAGGATGGAATAGGATCACCCTTGGAAGTACTGAAGAGGTGGAGCAGAATCTGTCTCTGAGTCTAAACTTTACTATTTTAGGCCCTATTCCTGCAAAAGTTAGGCACATCCTTGACTGCTGTGAGTATGCTTCCCTCGATGTCAGTATATGAAGTTAAGCGATCTGCAAACCTTTTAAGTTTGGGGCTGTAAGCTTCATACTCTTTAAGGAGAACACCTAGATCCGAAATGGATCAGTAATGGATACTTGACAAGCTAACTTTGGGCAATGTGGCTAACAGTTCTTCCTCTCCAAAAAATAAAGTGCTCATCATCTATATTGCATACAGTTTATTCCACCTTTTTACTAAGGGCCCCCCCTAAAAAATATAGCAGGCCAGTGTCCTTTATATAACTGATCACTTTTACCAGTGTCTTGATAGACTTGTATTTAGGAATTCTTTGTGCAAATTGGATGCATTGATCTTAATATCTAGATTACCACAGATAAAGGGGGAATGCATAATATTTTCCTTGCCTGTATATTTTTGTCATACTTCATCCAAAGTAAGGTTTCCCATTGGTTTAATTTGGCTTTTCAGGTATTAGCATGAAAATCTTATGTGGTGTTACTAAATGTTAGAAATGACTGTTTTTTATTGCATATCTGACTTTCTGCAGAGAGATGCCTTTGCTATGGTTCTAGGTGGGGAGCTGCTCTGGAGCTGAGATCTTGCGACAGTGAGACAGCGTGGTCTGGAGCTGGGACAGAGCTGTGATCTGCTACCCACACACCCTGGGCAGGGGATTGTGGTTCTACCCTGGCTCTAGACCATGCCATCACTGCCGCAAAATCCCAGCCCCAGGGCAGCTCCCTGCCCAGCTATGCACTATGCCAGCACTGCTGGGGCTTATCCCCATGGAAACCTGGGCCCTGGCTGTCACAGCACTATGGCTTCTCGGGTCTCCCTTGAAACCACACCAGTTACAGGTAGGGACTGCTGGGAAATGGAGTCAGGCCTGCAGCCAGATCCACCATTTTGCCCACCCCTGCCTTAACCTCACCATCATGCACACGCATTTTGCTTTTTAGGATTTTTTTTTTCTGCTAGCCCTATTTTAGTCTTCCAGATAAAGTACTTTAAGAACACTGCTATTGACCACATGAATCTGTGCCTGACTTTGGAAAAGGAAAGAGTCCTTCTCCTAATACCTAATAGAAGTGTTTATTGGGAGAAACAGCTCTGTTTAGAGAAGACAAGAGGGACTGCATTTAGGAACTCCTAGAATTCCCACTGATGGGCTTATTTTCCTTGGTACAGAGCACCTGTCATTCTTCTGACTTTGGTGGGATTTGTGGATGCTTAGCTATTCTGAAAATTAAGTCATAAATATACATCATTCACTCTATTTCTCTGACAAACATGCATCTCCATCCCCCCTATCTACTATAATAATCCACCACAAAGTATGCTAATATAAACATGGCATTGTAATAAGTGCATAAGAGAGAGATCACTTTTTAAAATTGATTTTCACGGTCTAGTGGATTGTTGCGCTTGTCCTGAAAGTTTGTTCATCTGATGAGAAAAGAGCATGTTAGCAAGCTAAGAAGCTTTAAGTAAATTCCAATGTAGATACCTTTTTACATCTGCTTAAAATGGACTATGCATGTAGCTTTTGCCTTTGTTTACTTGCTGCTGTAATTCTAAGCAAGGCCTTTATGCGCCTTATGCCACAGCCTTTGCCATCAACAGTGAAACCTGCTGGCACAAACTTTGGGAAACTGATGGAAGTAAGTTCGAGGATGAAATTATGGAATTCACTGCTCGTTTCAATGTAGTGGTGTTGGTGGTCCAGGGGATATGCAGAAAGCAGGACTTGTGAAGTACTGTTTTTTATTGGACCAACTCTGTAGTTGAGAGATTAGACAAGCCTTCCAGCACAATGCTACAGCTGCAGGCTGTGACCAGCGTGGAAGTCTGAAGCTGCCTGCAGCTTTAGCACACCCACCCCTGTGCCCACAGCTCCAGTGCAGAAGCTGCTGGCCATGTTTGGGTAACTGTGGACATGGCTGGCAGCTGCTGGGTCCAGACTGGGGGAAGGGCGGGGGGGGGGAAGTGTTGCGGGGCATGCTACAGCTGTGAGTGGGTTGCACAGCTGTAGCATGCCCCACATGCTTCCACTTCTTCACTGGTGGTAGCCCTGGCCCAGACAGAAGGAGAGAGTTCCTGGAACACCAAAAATAGCCCCAGCCAGCCGGCATCATGACGGTGTTGGAGCCAGAGCAACCAGGTCCATTCACTTGGCAGGCGCCCAAATGCGGGTCGGATCGAAATCAGTTGGTGGGCTGAATCCAGCCCACAGGCTGTATTTTGCCCACCCCTGCCTTACTGAACGTGTGCCTGAGACCTGTCAAAACCCCATGACAGGGAGCCCAACATCAGGTTTAGCTGATTGTCATCTGGGGCTAGAGACTGGCTCCCCCTGCATCAGCAAGTAAGGAACAATTGGGATCCAGTCCCTGTGTGTCATGCACGTGTGTCATGGCAGGACCCATGATTGTTGGGATCAAGGATTAGATCCCATCACGTCTTAAAGTAAACATGTGTCAGGCTCCAATTTTTCAGAATTTGAAATTGGGGGGGGGGGGGAAGGACTAGATTCTTTTTTTCATAACTTCCCTTCCCTCCCCAGCTCCCACCCCTATAACTCCATTCGTATTCAAATGCATGCTGATGTGGAGCAGAAGCCACATTGTTCAAGATAAACCATCAACCTTCGACATCCCTGTTGGATCCTGATGGATCTTGTATACATCTGCAGGATGCACAAAGCAACTCGGTTAACAGATCTGACCAGCTATATGTCTACATCCTGAGAAATCATTGCTGAGGCACACACCTGTGTATGTCAACATGTATTTACAAACAGAAGCTGTATGCCATGATTGCTTTCGCCTGGCTGAAGCAAATGTTCCGGATGTGACATCATATAACATCCAGTGAGAAATATTTACATAAGCATTTTCTTACAGACCTAATCTCTGCCTCATACGGTACCTGTGCAAACATTTGAAATGCATTTGCAAACACTTGAAATTCATTTGGGCTTGGGAGCATACCTCTGCTGTGCTCTTGCGTATGTCTAAATTTGAGGCCTGGTCTCATATTGGAGTCCTACATATGGATATATTCAGACACTGCTATAGTCTGCTTTTATTTACCCTCCCCTCCAGCACACACAAAGTGTTGCCTTTTTCTTTTCAAATACATTCAATATAATTTTTGATTGGTGTGCATAATTAGAACTATCAGGGGAAATAGTAAATTCAGTCCACTTGCAGGCAGATCCTCGCTTGTTATAGACTGGTCATTGCTCTACAGTAGAGTGTTTCTACCAGCTGGCACCCTACTCACTGAAGTACTTAAATTGAGATCAACCATCTTGCTAAATAAGGTGCTGTGCATCAGCTGCCTGTTATGAGGCTGGATGGTATTTATTTATGTAGTATGGAAGAAGAATTCCCTTTGCATTAATTATGAAGTGAAATTCAATGGCTTGTGTTATTGAGGAAGCCTGACTGGATTACCTTAATGGTTGCTTTTGGCTTAAAATTGAATCTATAAACCACAATAGAGGCAGGAGGAATTGAACCCCAAGGAAATTCCATGGAAGCAAAAATTGCACCATCATGCTTGAAATGAACACCAGCAAAAGAAATCTTGCAGCTCCCCGGTCATTATTTGCTGGTCCTCTTTGTACATTATAGCTTATGAGGTGTGTCGGGTTCAGTCTGTGCTTCACAGGATCTGCAGCCTCATCCTGGGGACCACCTGAGCTCTATTTACTGCCCTTTCAATAATATCCGCACAGCTGGAATTTGTAACGACATTTCTGTGACCGTTGAACTCATTGCCAATAAAGCTTACATCCTGTAAAGTAAATAATACTATAGAGGCCCTTTGCTTTGGGGTTTATGGCCTCCCGTGGAGGTAACTGGGAACCATTTTAAGTTAATTTGTCTTTCAGACCCACTGTGCCAGTGACCACCTTGTACCAAGTTTGTTGGTGCCTTGTCGTGAATCCAGATTTTCAAGGACCAGCAGAGACTAAATTACATGAATGTCACAGCTAGGAATTCTTTTATTTCTGTCATACCAACAGAATAGTTGTGTTAGACAAACTGCAGATTATAAACTATATGTGGTTTAGTCTCTGATGAGCACTCCCTTTCTTTTGTCTAATGGAGAGAGACTTGCTCAAGGTTACACTGGATGTTAGTGGCAGAGCAGGGAATGGGGACCATCTCCCTGGTTTTAGGTGAGCATCTTTACCAGCGCATCATCTTGCCTCTTACCTGGGGGTTGAGGAAGCTGCACATGCAATAGGCAGAGCTTAATAGGTCACTGAGGTTTCTGTCTAATTTTTGAGAAAGCCGTGTCAGTCCACTCGAAACCTAATCTGTGTGTGGTGTCCATTGCTTATAGTGTTTAACTGATGAGATTTTCGGAATATTTGTTATGTAGGTTAATTCCACTGAATGCCTGGGAATAGCCCATAGGCTGTTGGGTAAGAAAACTGCTCCTTAAGGATGGAACAGAAACTCCATCTTGCGTGAGACGTGTAGAATCTAGTCTTTGGTAGGTGCCTCAAAACTGTTGCAGCTTCTGCTGCAAGTTATAATAGGCTTAGGCATTGAAATGCTCTGAATTTTAATTCCGGTTCCATCACTGATTTGTTCTGCAGCCATGAACAGGTCAATTTATCACCCCATCTTTGTTTTCCAGTTGGCTAAATGGAGTTCATGTTTAACCACTTCCAAGGAGCATTCTGGAGATTTGTTTATATGTGCAAAGCAGTAGTGAGCTAGGGATGTGAAAGGTTAAATGTTTAAATTATAATTACATTTATACCATTAATGCATCACAGTTAATGTTTAAAACAGACTACATTGTGTGAATAATTGCGTGGTTTATAGGGTGCGTGAAGCTTCGGTCCCTGAGTCGATTCGGCGGAGGTTCAGCCCGATTTGGTGGTCAAACCTCCAAACCTGAATTGAATCAGAGGACCCTTTGATCTCTCCAAATCGATTTGGAGAGATTTGGAAAGATTTGGCGATTTGGACATAGACACAGCTTTAAATGTTTTTTCTACATACATCTAGGTAGCAGGGGCTCGTGAGTGCTGCAGTGCTGGGGCGCATGGAGTGTCCCACAGGAGCACAGGGGGCTCCCCAGCACTCTCAGCAGCAGACCCAGAAGTGGACCAGAAGCACTTCTGGGTCTGCTAGGGAGCGCGCTGGGGGGCCTCGCTGCACCCTTACCTCCGGCTCCGCAACTGGTGCCTCCTGGTCCACTTTTTAGGTTAGCCGCCGAGCATGTGGGGGGCCCCCTGTGCTTCTGTGGGACGCTCCATCTGCCCCAGCATCGCAGCGATCATGAGCTGCGGCTGGTACCTCAAGGTATGTAGAAAAAACATTTAAAGCTGTGTCTGTGGCCAAATAGCTGATTTAATTTTCTGAATCAGCATTGAATCTTCAGATTCAGCCAAATCGAATTGGGGACAGTGATATGAATCAATCACTGTCCCCAATTCGGGCCAAATTCGCACACCCCTGGTGGTTTACCAGCACTACTTTTCCAGATTACCCTACACCTTTGCATGCCACCTACCCCTCGCACCAGCAATTCCCGCCATGTAAACTGAAGTGCTGGGACTGAGGAGGCAGTGGAGCTGAGTCAAGCTAGCCTTCTCCCTGAAGGAAGAGAGTCAGGGAAGGGGGGGTAGGGCAGAGCACGGTGGCTGGCAGCAGGAGCACCTCTTGCTGCCTGCATGCTTCTTGCCTTGTGGCAAGCAAAGTGGGTGCTGGCTTCTCTATAGGTTAGTGTTATCAGTTAAACAGTTAACCAATATAATTAGAAGAGTTTAAACAGCTAATTTTTAAACCAATATTTGCATCCTATTTATGCTCAACCTATTTATGTAGGCTCTTTGTACATGAGGGGCGGGTGCCAACAAAGTACATGGAGTGGGTAAGGCGAGGCTGAACAACCTTACAAGGCCATTAGTGACGAGTTCTTTGAGTTTCCACACTTTCACATGTTAAGGACTTTATAGTGGATGATATTCATAGTTAATAGATATGCATCTAAAGCCTTAATTAAGTTTTCATGAAATGTTGAAATTGGAATCTTCATGTTTCTTTCCTCCCAGCAAAGTCACATAAATCACAATGGCCTGTCCAGCTCATCCCAGACTTCTCCTAAATTCCTGCTCTGTTCTAAGAGTAAATCACATGAAGTAGGAGTCAAAATCAGGCATATAGAAATCATGGGTGGATTCCTTCCATTCTTCCCCATCCCCTTGCACTGACCCTATCCACAGCTGGTTCAGGAGATGGAGGGAGGCTTAGGAACAGCTCCAGCCAGGAACTGTGCTTGCAACAGGCAGGTTCCTCCTCCCTGCCTGTTTCCCCTTGGGTTGCGGGGGGGCGGGAGCAGCCAGGGACAGCAGCAGAAGTGGTGACAGGTGGGTTCCCCCACCTTCCGCGCTTGCTTCGGGCTGGCAGAGAACACCCAGGGAGACTGGAGAGAGGAGGAAACTTCCCGCCTGCTGCTGCCACTGATCCTGGCTGTAATGGGGCAGTAAAAACTCTAGTCTCCTGTCCCCCCACTCAGCTCCCCGATCAGCCAGGGACAGTGGGAACTGAGGCTGTAGCAGGTCGGGGAAGGGTAGGATGTGCTGATGAGGAGGGAGGGGAAGAGACGGGGTGCAGAGAGCAAGAGGCTGGGAGCCAGAATTCTTACCTTTTTGAGGACTTAACCCAAAAAAAACTGCTGCTCCCTTGGTAGGGTCAGAAAGGGTGGGATATCTGTCCATGCCACCACACTCCCTTTGGATCTATCCATAATGGAAATTGAACTTATCTTTCACTGTAGTCAATATATTGACTTCAGAAACTTCTCTTTTCTTCTCTTTCTTTCCTCAGATGTTGTTTCTACTAGCTTTTAAATTTCTAGACTTCCTTGCTGTTCATTTGTGCAATATACGGTAGATTTGTTCATGGAAGCAGCATTTACTGGATGCCATCTGTGCCAGGGCGCTTAGCATGCCTGCCACTTTGTGGGGAAGAGGCTGCATGAGAAGCAGCCTGCAAGTGTGGCAGGGGCCAGTTAGAGAGCCACCTGACCAGAAGGGGACTGGGCTTGAAGCAAATAAGTCCAGATCTGAGCTGGTCAGGCTGTCTAGCCCTGAGGCTACGGAGAGAGGAGCTCCTAGGCAGCAGGGCTACAGCAGGGCTCCTGGGTAACATCTGAGCTAGGGTAAGCAACTCAGGAGGTTTGAGGAAGGAACTAAGAGGCCTGGGAACACAGAATTGTGTTCTTGGGGCCCAGAGGTAGAGAGCTTGAGCTTAAGAGAGGGAGGAAGGACGAGTGTAAGCAGGGCTAGAGAGGTCAGAGGTATGTAGCCCAGGAGGGGCAAGTGTCAGCAGGGCCAGGGAGCCCAAAAGTCTCACTGGCCCAGGAGCAGGGCCAGGGCCCAGAGATGGGGGCTAAAGGCTGAGGAGGGCCACAGCCAGAGGCCGAGGGGGCCAAGGAACCCATAGGTTAGGAGGGCCAGGGGGCCCATAGCCAGAGAGGGTTGTTAGAAACAGCCGAGAGAGAAAGAGAAAGGAATGTGTTTCGTCTGAGAGGTATGGGCATGGTGTAAGGGGTGGTTGGAGATGCGCAACGAGCCCTTAAGGCAATGAGCAGCGACATTGGTGCTTGTGTAGATATCTGACTTGGGAAGCCCTGGAGCAGTCTCCCTTTTCTGAAAGCATCATTTCATGAAGGCTTGGCAGGCAAGGAGAAGGGGAGATTGCCCAAAGAGACTGAGGTTGAAAACTGCTGAGGGAGCTCCAGGGACATCACGGCCACCCTGGAGCTGAACCATGTTACATCATCCATGACTCTATAGCTCCAAGAAGTTTGCTTTCCTGTCTATTAGGTGGTGCTGAAATGACCAGGCAAACTGCTGCTTTACCTCTTATGTAACAGATAATAGATTAATATTTGTCAGCATTTCTGGATTTGCCTCAAAAATTGGGTCATAACAGTCTTTGTCCTAGAATTTAGGATGTCTTTGGAGATAACAGACTGATCCTGTGGAGTGTATCGGTGTGTATCTAGAACTCGATCTGAACTCTCATTTGGACACTGCTTACTTTATTTCTGTTCAATCTGTTAATGCAATGTTAATGTGTGTTGTAAACAGTAAATATCTCCACTTCAGCGATGGCTGCAATTTGGGAATGGGAATGTGTGAAATGCTTTGAAACAAAAGGTATTATGTGCGTAAGATGCATGGGGTGGCACGCAGTCTATCTACCCCTTTTTTGCATCTGTAAGACACCAAGTTCCAGGTCTACAACACCGTCATCATCCCCACTGTCCTCTACAAATGTAAAACATGGGTGACCTATCATTGTCATCTCAAGAGCCTGGGGAAGTATCACCAATGATGCCTCCAGAAAATCCTCCTCCTCCAATAGGAAGATTGCTGTGCAAACACCAGCATCCTTGCTGAAGCCAATGTTACCAGTATCAAATCTGTGATCCTTGAGCACCAGCTTTGCTGGATTGTACACTGTAGATGCCCAACTCTTGACTCCCAAGTCAAGTGCTCTATCCTAGCTTATTTTTGTGGTCTGAGCTCTCGCAGTGGCCAGAGGAAATGCTACAAGGACACATTGAAGGCATACCTCAAGAAAACAGATGCTGACATCAAGAGTTAAGGGGAAGTGGCTGCTAACCAACTCAAGTAGTGCCTCAGCCTCAACCAAACAGCAGCCCACTTCCAGGTAAAGTGTCGTGTCCTTGAAGTAAGGAAGACAAATCCAAGCTTATGGCCTGCTCTCCCCTGTGAAAAGACCTGCAACTTCTGTGGACAGATCTGTGGCTCAAGGATTGGACTCAAGACCCATCAATGAACAATGGTGGAGATCATCCTTAAATCGAGGGATTGCCACCAACGGCATCCATAACACTCAAGGTTGTACCTGTGTGTAGTTTGCTCCTTTGTGACTAAATAACCTATTTTCTCAAATACCAACCAACATATACCCAAGTAAGATGCTTTTATGGGGGAAGGTAGAATGAAGAAAAAAAATGTTTTTTTTGCAGCGTTAGGGCTGCATGGAGGAGTGACATTGCTCACTCACCTTCCTTGTCTTGCTTAATGTAAAGCAGAAACCCTAGTTGCTGCTAAAGACTGGTCTCCATCGGTGGATCAATATGTTGGAAAGAATTAAAATGTCTGCAGTGCTGTGCAATAGGACAAGAGAGTCTTCTACAGTATTCTATTCCAGGCAGAAAATTAACTTCCCCAATTATGACAGTCATGCCAATTTTGGGGGCTCGATTTTGGGGGGAAAAGGTACAATTGGTATAAAAGTAAATAGGCTACATGAAATATACTTTTCATATGAGGAATCTTAAATGGAGTGTATGTTCATTGTGATAGCTGAGATGCAGAGCACAGGTTCAGCCAGGTCAGTTTGTATTGCTTACCCTTGTATTTGGTACTGCTGGTTGTTGAAGTATTAAACCATATGTGACCTTCGCTTAAATTTCTCTTATTTGGTTTTTGTTTGATTTTTGTAAGAACTCACAGACGGAAGTGGACCCAGGATTTTTCAAAGTGGGTGGAGGAGCAGCAGCCAGCTCTGCAGGGGTAGCTGTATCCCTACCCCCAGCCTCCTTTCCCTTGCCCCTGCCTCCAACCAGGACGAGCAGACCATGCCATGGGAGCAGCAGTCGGGGGCTTTTTAAAGCTCCCAAAGCAGGTAATAATCCCCTTTCCTTCCCTCCCCATTGCTTCTCCTCCCTTCCCCCCCTCCTACCTGCCACTGGCCCTGCAGTCCTGGAGCCAAGAGAAGCTTCAGAGCTGGTCCAGCAAGGATGCATAAGGACTGGGTTCAGCCCAGGTCTGTGATGACAGGTGGCTGGATTCCCCTTCCCCACATCTGCATCTGAGCAGGTGGGGAACACCCAAGGGGAACCCACCCACCTCCACCACTGCTGCCACTGTCCTGTGCAGAGCCCAGCTAGAGCAGCTCTGGAGCTCCCTTTGCCCCCAGGGCAGCAGCAGGTATGGGAGGGGAGGGGATTGAGTGGGGAAGGGGAAGTACCTTAGAGCAGCAGTTCCCAGTTTATGGTACAGGTACCACCAGTGGTACACAGACAACCTGTCAGTGGTACATGTTAACAGATTTATTATAATTACTTTATATGACAAAAATTTGCTGGTGGTACTTAAGGTTATATCATTTTAAATTGGTGGTGCACAATCTGTCAGAGTTTAGGACCTGCTGCCTTATAGCATAGGAAGAGGGGATTTTTACCTTCTTCAGGGACTTGAAGTCCCCAGCTGCTGCTCCTGCAATGTGGTCAGACAGGGGAGTGCAGCCATGCCATTGTACCCCTCTGGATCTGCTCCTACCCCTGCACACAGAACTGAAATCTTTTTGCTTCTTTCTTTCCTGGATCATTTGGGGAGAGGAAAATGAATGATTTTACTCATGTTCATGGGTTCCTTTTTGGCTTGCTAAAGGCAGTTCATTAGGAGAGTTTGTTGAACAACTTATGCTGATTGTAAATGTCTCCCTATAACCTTATGTTCCCCCCTGTCTGTCCATCTGTGCTTGGGTCAAAATTTTTGGGGCAAGGCATACCTTTTCATTATATATGTGTGCATACTGCTTAGCCCAAAGGGATCCACAGTCTCTGAAAGGCAGTGGTGTTACGTAGAGCGCCAGTGCACCCCCTGACCAACTGTGTTTGCCGCTTAGGCGATGGGCAGGGGGAGCAGGAGGGGGCAGGCGGGAGTGCCAGTGTTGCTCCCCCCCTGTACGCAAGCACTGGCCAATCATCACTTCTGGGAGTGGCGGCGGCCACTTCTGGGAGCAAGCACCGGCCAGTTGCTGCAGCCACTCCCAGAAACAGTGATTGCAGCGATCAGCCGTCGCGGGTTCGGCTGCGGGGGATTTCCCCCGGTCAGCGGGACTGGGTGCAGGGGGCAGGCACCTGACTAAGGCAGCACCAGGGCTGCAGTGGCAGCCTCCTGTTATCTGGTGCACAGGTCAGGGGGCCCGCACTCCAACTGGCTCCGCCACCCCATGCAGCTCAGCCCGCAGGAAGCGGGCAGAGCCAGAGCTCACGTGCCCTCATTTAATTTCAAAGCTGTTTGGAAGCTTTTTGTTTTGTTTCGATTTTGCTGTTTTGAGCTCGAAACGCATTGAAACAGCTTCAAAACAGAACACTCGGCAAAATTTCGCTCAGCTTTAGTTTGCACTGTTTGTGTAGCAGCAGTGGTGGGGAGATAATACTGCTCACGTGACAGGGAGACTGCCCATAGCAGAGGTCCCAGGGAACCCACGCAGCCCCGATTGAATGCAGCCTACGACATGTGCAGCAAGCAGCCCCCAGGGGCTCTAAAATTGTTCTAACAGGGTTAATGTTGGAGCAGTTTTGCTACATCTGTGTCTATCCCAGCTTGTCCACATCTAATTGTTGGAACATGTTGCTCACCTCCGATCAGCAACTCCCCTTTGAAATGTTCCCCTTTTGAAACAGCTCCAAGTCTACATGTGTCCATACCCTAAGTCTCATTGATTTCAGTAGGAGTTAAAAATGTGTTCTTTACTGAATCCTCACCTTCATCTTTTTTTTCTCTTAGTTTCCCTATATGGAAAATAAAAAGTGTGAACCTCTATCCCATCCACGTTTCAGTGAAATGCTTTGATAGTTTCACAGGAAGGGTACTATAGATGCACAAAGTAGTATTTTTTACAGATATTCTATGCTTGCAGGGATTGACTGTTTTTAGCTGTAGCTATTCTCTGTCCTGGCTTATTTGCTTTGTTTTCTACCACAGGCCCGATAATTCCTCCCGCCAGCAAGAAAGAAGTTTTGAATGCATGCCTGGTAAGTTTCCACCCTCTAAAGGATTTTTTTTTTTATTCCATCTGGATCTACTTGAAACTGATATGAAAAGTCCAAGGGGAGAGAAAAATCCAATAAAAATCAGTGGAAACTGGGCACACAAATGAATGGGGATAAAATTCATACCTATTGAAGAATGAAGTGTAAATGCTTTGTAGGAATGTTACTGAGTGTGAGCAAGTTGAAGAGAAGTCATTGAGGCTTGTGCATCAAATCCAGTAAGCCACTGGAATGAAGTCTACAACAAACACTTGAGTTGCACGCACTAAATCCCCTGACTTTTCAGCAGGCTTCACACCTTGATCTAGTTTTATTTGTAAGCAAAAATATGTTGCTGTCTTTTTTAGGAGTTTTTATGTGTATATATATATGTGTATATATAGATATAGATATATCTATATCTATATATATCTATATCACAAGGAAAGTAAAAACTTTCCCTGGAATTTCATAAATGGCCTTAATGGCCCCCTTGCTGGTAGTATGCTTTCAGATCAAAGGAAGGCTTTCTTTCAGTTCAGGCATGGAACCAAATCTTAAGTGTTTTGGTTTCAGTTCTTTTCTCTGCCACAGACTCCCTTTGTAGCCTCAGGCAAATCATCTAGTCTTCCTATCGCTCCATTCTCCTTTGTAAAATGGAGCTGCTTATACCTCTGTTTTGTAGGGCAACAGCACCCTCCATATAATTTGTGGTACCTTATAGAAATGAGGAGATAAGTAGATAAATGTAGGCTGAGGCTTGGTCTTTCCTAGCCAGTCTCCTACCCACACTGCCCAGCCCTTTTGCAAAGAGGTAAGCTCTGTAATATTGAGTGCCATTCAGTTCACAGAAGTTATGGAGGGGTGTCTGAAGTTCAAAAAGTTTGAGAGCAACTGACTTAGACTATAACTTCCATGGGCAAAGACTGTCTCTTGGTATGGGCTAGTCTATACTGCAAAGGATTTTTGGTATAGCAAGTCCCACATTAAAACATAGTTTATACCGGCAAAAAAATGTTTTGGGGTAATTAAATCGCTTCTCTGTATGATATGAGTAAAGCTATGATTTTGGCACAGTAATTTTTAGTCAGTTTTGCAACAGAGGTTTGTGTGGGGGAGAACATATGGGGGGTGAGAAGGGAGAAATACTCAAAGAATAGTTATCAAGCATGCTTGCAGTTTGCTTACAACAAGAAAATGAGTACAGAGGTAGTTAATCATGTTAGTCTAAAGCCAGGCAGAAGGTAAAGCATGCCACCTTAGGGAGGTGATTCTCATCCAGGCTGCCATGGGGTGTCAGGCAATATTAACACTTAAGTGGGCAGACACCTGGACATGATTCACAAGACAAATCCAGACATTTCAAATAGGAATCTATTGTGTCAAAGCCATTGTACCTTGTTGTGGTCATTTTGAGTTTTTTTGCAACAGAAGAATTGCTCTTATTATTTTTCCATTGTCAAAAAACAAGTGAAAGTCATAAGCTAGCATTATCTGAGGGATGCCTTGAAGCTAAAAGGTTGAGAGCCAGTGCCTTGGAGACTAGGGGTTTAGCAAGGAATGAACTTTAATAGGAAACAGCATGCTTCGTTTGACGCTATAAATGCATCCATTCATAGCATTTGTCAAAGGTTCATGCCTCTATGAACTAGGTAATCTCTAAGGTGCCACCCTGCCCTGCCTTCTGCTTAACAGCTAAATAATAACCTTACTGAGTATGTTTCCTTACTACAGTGTATTGCCTCACAGGTATTGCTGTATGGAGAGCTTATGTCTTCATTCTTTCTCATGTGCCTAGATCCTTGGTTGAACTTTGTCTCCCATGAATCTGTGTTCTTTCTGTCCTCTGATTGCGGGGCAAGGTACAGCATGAAACTCGTAGGTTCTCCAAATTAATGGGTTTGCTGTGACCAAATATTACCCTCAGATACAACCTATATCAGCAAAAGAATGCCCTTGCTAATATAAATTGCAGGGGTGTTGGAGGAGGTAGTTTTGTTGGTGTAGCTATGCTGAGTAAAAGGGGTGATTTCCCATCCCCATGTCCCTGATACTTCTAGTGGGCATAGCTATGACAGCAAGTCTTTGTGGTATACTGCAAATATTCTCTTCTGTTTTTGTGGATGTGGTCTACAGTTGGATGGCCTAATCAAGTCAGAAAAATGTGATGTGACATGAGGAAAAAATGAAAGTTTTCTTATTTACTCTACTATTAACAAGGGGTTAATATTGACAGAGTGAGAAGGGAGTATAGAGTGGGTTAGAAATGCTTTGTAAGAAGATAGAGTTCCCTGCCCTCCTCTGAAGAGGACATGTCTGCATGCTATATACATATGTACCATAACCCTTCATGGATGCTGGCCTCATTGTCAACATAAATAACACTAACATCAGTCTGAAGTTGTCTTTCAAGTTTGCATTTTTCCCTGCACAGACCTACTGTATTTCAGTTTCTAGGGTTTTGTTTTTTGGGGTGTTTTGGGGGGGTTGGGTTTTTGGGGTGTTTTTTTTTTGGGGGGGGGGGAGGTTCTTCTAAAACCATTAAGATCCTAATTTATCCTAGATGAAGCCAGCAAGATCTACTTGTCATCATGAGTGAACAGTAGTTCCTTTGGCTATTAATAGAGGGTTCTGTTACCTGAGTTTAAGGAAGTTTAACATAGGAGTCGTACCTTTCTCTGTAGGTTCCTAGAAGATGGACTTTATACATACAGATACTGAGTTTCACTTTTGTTAGAGAAAAGTCTTTCTTACTAGTGTGAACATGTTCAGAAACATCCCAGAAGGGTGTGCAATTTTCTGGTAAAGAGCAGGTTCCTTCCTCAAACATGTTTTGTAGTTCTCTCTCTTTTTACTTGTCTGATGCATGAAGTCTGCAAAATGTATTTCATCTTTTCATTGTGCTGATATGATAGCAAAGGGTTGATGGTGTATATCCTTCCTTGTACATCGCTCCATTTCAATGATGGCTGTAATACAATGGGTTATAATGTTGTCTTGGGGCTATAGAGCACCTTTCCTCTTGAAAGATCTTCCCAATTCCTTATGCAGGTGTAAATGACTTCATGTTCAATAGATAAGCAACAGATTCTGGATTAGAAGTTTGTATGGATTTGTTGGGCAAAGCTAGCCTTCTGGAACAAGCAATCTAAATGGATGTTGTGGCGTTGTCCTACATTTTTACTTTCATGGAACCCAGTTCAGTGAAGCATTCTGAACTTAAGTACATGCTCAAGTCTTGTTTTGAATTGGAGCTCTAATATGGTCATAAATGGTCGTGATGAATGCTCTGCGGTATTTACTACTTCTAGTTTGAGCATCAAAAGTGTTAATGTCATGGAGCAGTTCCCTGTTTCCTGCCTACAGTGGGTGGTATTGGGTTAACTGGTGTTTGCAAGAGATTCTTCTTTTCAGACCCTAGCGTTTCAGAGAGGTTGCTGCAATTTTCAATTCTGCTCCCCTGCAGAGCAGTAGTGACTGAACTTCTTTACAAAGAAAGCAAATTGGAAAATGTGGACATAAGCCTTTGAATTTACTGCATTTGCAGAATGTTTGTAATGCCAGCTTGGTGGGATTTTTATGTTAGGAAAATCAACATCAAAAGTCTCTGCTGAAAATTTAGCAATTACTGGGAGAGGGAGCATGTGTTTGTCTACCATTAATGTTAATGCATCAGTGGGGGACTAGGCAGGCCTGTTCCTGTATGTTTGAAATGAGTTAATGATTTGTTTGCAGATTTGAGCTAGAGTCCACACGAAGGGAAACAAGTCTTTTTTTTCTTTAACTTTTCTCTCCTCTGGGATGCAATTAGTTGATCTAAATTTTTCTTTTGATTAAAAGTATTTTGGATTGATCCAGTAGCTGCTCTGTAACAAGCTGTAGTTTTGTACATTGTTTATCTTTGACTGGTCTCTGTAATTTGAAACACGGGAGGTATGCAGCAAATGTCAATTCAGCTGTCTATACGTTTTCCAGCTGTCGTGGAACTCTTCTGGAGATGCTTTGAGACATTTTAGGTCACAGCTTTGTGACATGATTAATCAGTTCTTTAAGTACCTTGCAAGGAGCTTCAATGAAAGAGAAGGAAATAAAGATCCAATGTGTTTTTCTCCCAAATGCAAACAAGGAGGAGGAAACCTCTTGCAGTCCTTCAAAAAAATGATCCCCAGTTCATATTTTTGTGGGACTTTCTTTTAGGTTAGTTAACAACTGATAATGACCACTTAAAAGACTCCAGAAGGAGCCAATATACAGACTCAGAAGAAAGGAAACAGAGAATTGGAAAGCATTTCCATTTTTTAGCATTTTGAGCTAAAAAAATCTTGTTTGAAATGGGCACAAGTTGATGACCTTTATATATGAGAGCTCTTGATGCATTGCATGCACCTAGAGCTCGCCTTAAGGAAAATGGCATCCTGGGCAAACTTGTATTTTGGCATATTCCCCCCCCCCGTCAGTAGTGCTGTTGCAAGCAGGGGCATAGGGTGCAGTTTGGCGGGGGGCAGAATGGCATGGTGCACCAGGTGGGCGGGCGGGCAGGCAGGCAAGCATTGCTGCTGCTGTGTGGGAGAAAGGCAGGGGGACTGGAGCAGGTGCCACCCCGTCTGCACCTGCCTGGCTCGGTTCCTCCTGAGCAGAGGTGTGGAGCAAGCTGGGCTGGACACTGCTCCTGCCTGGGGCAAGGATGGGGGTTGAGGAAGACTGCTGTGAGCATATTGGGGGGGGTGGGGGGGTGCCCCCTGACCATGGCGTCCTGCAAAGTCGCCACATCGCCCACTCCTGAGGCCGGCAAGAGACATGATGCTTTTCATTTTTTATACACATTTCTAAGTGTCCATCATTATGTTACAATCCATTGTATAGGCAGTTTGGTCACAGTGCTCTCCTGACCATGGGCAGAAGGGCTTATCCTGGCCAGAAATGAGCTCTCCCTTCCTGTGATCTGAGAGGAGGCAAGCTGTTTTGTGCTCTGGCATTTAATGTGGTAGCTCATGAATCCTTTC